GACAGCATCTGGGGTCGATGTGCTCTCCCTTGTTCAGGCCAACTGTTCCTGTGGGTTTCTCCAACCTGGTACAGACCCCTTCGTTCTTCATTTCCTCCCTCTCTTCAACTAAATTCCCTATTTCAGCTCAGAGTATATCTGTGGATGTCTGTCTCTGCTTCCATCAGCCACTGGGTGAGGGCTCTAGGATGGCATAAAGAGAAGTCATCGATCTCATTTTAGGGGAAGGGCTTTTAGGTTATCCTCTCCACCATTTCTAATGATTGTATTTGTTCTTAATCTAGAGTTTCTCCACCTGGTGGTGATTTTTCTGATCCAGTCACATCTGCTACTCTGGGTATTGTTCAGGTATGTTTTTACCCTCTGTCATGCTGCAGTTATAATTTAACTAAGTAATCATCAAGTGTTTAATTTAGTCACTAAAGAATTGGTAGCAATAAAAAAATGTTTTAATAGCATCCTTAACATTATAAAAGTTTAATTCATCCTGTTTTTTCTTAGTTCTTAACAGTTTATAATAAACATAACAGAAGTCCAGAAATACATCTAGGTCCCAAAGTTTTCTTTATGTTAAAGTTACGGTACTCATAAACTAACTCTTAACTATAGAACTAAATAGGCCTCACGCTTCATAATGACAGAATATCACGGTCTAGTCTGTGGCAGATGGTCCCATCAGAAAGTGGGCATCTGCAGTCACAACTGGAGCCTGGCTCTTGGTAGTCTCCTGCATCTGGCTTCCACAAGGGAAAACTGCCGGAAAGGCACAGCCACACTCAGCTGTGGGCTTCAGAGAGAGATGGTCGTTGTGCTCCCTTTGTTAACTCTACCAGGTGAGAGCAAGCTTGGAAAATGTGGTTTCTGCCTGGACAGTTTCTGCCTGGATCAAGGCATAAATTTTAATGGAGAGAGCTAGTCATTAAAGAAGCCTAAATAATGTGTCTGTGAATCAGATCAATAGTGCAAAACAGTGCCCCTAAGTATGCCTGTGTGTAAGAAAAGTCTTTCTTGGTTTCTGCCAGTACCAGATGAAATTGTAGGGACTAAATCTATAGTTATCAAAGTTTTTTTTTTTTTTTAATTAGTTCAAGTTAGGGAACAAGCTTGTTTCACATGTAAGTCCCTTCTCCCTCTCCCTCCCCTCACCCCCATCCCTCCTCCCCCACCCCCATAAAGAAGAATTATTTATTTATTAGGTAGAAAGTGTTCCTCCTGCATGTACACCTGCGTGCCAGAAGACAATATCAGATCTTATTATGGTTGGTTGTGAGCCACCAGGTGGTTGCTGGGAATTGAACTCAGGACCTCTGGAAGAGGAGCTAGTGCTCTTAACTGCTGAGCCATTTCTCCAGCCCATCAAAGTATTTAATATTTGCTAAATTTTGGATCTTAATTTGTATGGGGAAATGGAGCAAAGTTATTAATGCATAAAGCATCTGAGTGTTTGGCCTCAGAAAATGAATGTCAAATATTATTTAATTGACTCACAATGATAGAGACTTGAATTCATCAGAACATTTTAAAGATTTTAATCAAAGTAAATGTCTGTTCCATCTCAATCAGCCTTTCTTGTTCTTCTGTTCTTATTATACCATAATAATCTTCAATTGCACCCATTTTCCTTTTTGCCATCACATTTGATGTAGTTAGTTTTAAGGAAATTGAGAGAAGTTTGATTTGTAGATGTTACCCACCCTCAAAATGGAGAAATGTGTTTTTTAGCTAAGTTTGGTTTTTGCACATTTTATTCTATTTCAATTATATTTATATATGCTAATATGATACATAATTGGCCCAAGGAGTTTAAGAAGTGCTTATTGGAGACAAATAGATATACTGCACTACTTAGTAAAAAGAAAAGTCTAATTTTTCTTTTTTTAAACAGGTGTTCTGGGGCTTGGATAAAAAACTAGCCCAACGCAAGCACTTCCCCTCTGTCAACTGGCTCATCAGCTACAGCAAGTACATGCGTGCCCTGGATGAGTACTATGACAAACACTTCACAGAGTTTGTTCCTCTGAGGACCAAAGCCAAGGAGATTCTGCAGGAAGAAGAGGACCTGGCAGAAATTGTGCAGCTTGTGGGGAAGGTGAGTTAGAGCAGGGGCCGCCTGGGGTACCAAGGTACCGTACTGGTTTCCGAAACTTAGGTATGCAGGTGCTTGCTTGGCTGGTATAACGGCTCATGACTAATCTGGGCACTAAGCCTGAGGTAGGGAGAATGCCACAATTATGAGTCCAGTGTGCACTGCATAGTAAGTTCCAGGTTATTGTGGGCTGTGAGTATGAGATCATGTCTCAAAACAAATAAAAAACTTAAATGTGCAGTGGTTTTCAAACCAGCTGAACCTTTAAAATTCCATGCCATGAGAGGTGAAAACAATACACCCATCACCAGTCAATTCGATATAAAATTAGGGCCCGTTAACATCATTTTTGTAGGAGCACTAGAACTGGGAATCACAGGGCCAGATTTAATTCCTCTAATAATTAGCTATGTGACCTTCAACGAGTCATTTACATTCTAGAGCCTATGTCTGGATATTCAAAGGAAGATGTTGTAAATAAACTTAGTCAAACTAAATCTCACAAGTGAATGATTTCTCAGGTCATCCACAGGACTAGCCAGGACTTAACCCCTTCCCTCTCTTTAGATAGATTATTCCTATGTAGCTCAGGCTAGCTCATACCCATAATTCAATTGTTTCTACCTCCCAAGTACTGAGATTACTGGTGTGTATCACCATGCCAGGGCCTATTATTTTTATTATATCTGATAAAATAGCCTCCTAATTTTTTCCAACAAAGGATAATATTAGCTAACATTTATAGCATGTATTACATATAGTGTTCCCAGTAGAGGTCATAGCTAGGCATGGTGGCATGCCTTTAATCCCAGCATTTGTGAGACAGAGGCTGACTTATCCATGAGTTAGAGGCTAGCCTAGTCTACATAGCTCCAGGCAAGCCAGAGACTGCATGGTAAAGCTGCGTTTGTATGTTTCTATGTTTTACACTAAGGTCTCAAAAAAAAAAAAAAAAAGTTGTGTGTGAACTAAGTAAAAAGACATACTTTTTTTCTATCAAAAGTATTTTAAAACTATTATAGGAGATTATTGAAAAACAGTCCACACTTGGGAGTGGATTAAAAGGAGGCATTTCAAGGGTCAGAAAGATGACTCTGTAGGTAATGCTGCTTGCCTCGTAAGCCTGGTAACCTGAATTCAACCCCAGAGTCTACATAGAGGTGGGAGGACAAAAGAAATGCCACAGAGTTGTTCTCCAACCCCACACCTCTCTGTGGCGTGCCTACATGTGCGTGCACACCACATACATGCACACCGTGCACACACAATAAGCAAGTAAGTAAAAATTTTGGCATTACCACTTCTGTTTGAACTATAAAGTCAGTGTAATACCAACCACATTTCTAGTTGATTGCATCTCTCAGTGCTGGAGATGGTACCCCAGGCGTGCTAAACAAACACCCTGCTACTGAGCTACATCTCAGCCCACCGTAGCTGAATCTTCTGAGTAAATCAGCAGTCATTCTGAAGTTCATTTACTGTCCTAGAGATTGGCTCTTAGGAAACAAAACACAATAGTAAATAGGGAGGGGATGTTCTCCTCCTGGGTATTGACAGAAAACTCTAATAGTAAAAACAGTGTGGTATTGGTGAGATAACAGACAAACGAACCAATGGACAGAGCCGGGATAGATTTATATGTACATGGATCCTTGATACTGCATAGCGCTTCACAGATCAAATGGGAGAAGTATGGATTGTTTTAATCAGCAGTGGAAAAACTGTTAGGTGTTTAAAGCAAATGAAACTGGGTTGCTTCCCAGTTCCACATATGAAGGTAAACTACAAATAGGTTAAAAATTTAGGTATGAGAGGAAACACTTTCATGTTAGTAGAATACAATTTTTAAAAGATTTTTTGTGTATGTGTGCCTGCCTGTGTGTGTGGATGTGTGCGTGAAAGTGCATGTGCTGTTGGGAGCCAGAGGTGTCTGGTCCCCCGGAGAGAGTTATAGGCAATTTTCCTCAAGAGAAAGCAGCAGTGGAGCTGGAGAGATAAGATAGCTCAGTGTTTAAGAGCACTTGCTCCTCTTTCAAAGGTTCCCAGCACCCACCTAGGGGCTCATAGCTCTAACTCCTGATCCAGGGGATCAGTGCCCTCTTCTGGGCTCCCTGGGTACCACAGACATATATGCATGCAAAGCACTGATGCACATGGCATTAAATGTAATAAATTTTAAAGGAAGTTTTTAGTAAATAAAATCAATGGTCGACTGTTTAAAAGATAACCACAGGGTAGAGCAGACAGATGAGAGAAGGAAGCCAGAAATATTACAGACCTGTGGATACTCCTTCAAACAGCAAGGACATACCAATCTATACTAGTTTGAATGGCAAAAGTTATACAGCTGGAAGTTGCCAAGTACTGGAATACCATTGATAGATATATCATTTGGAGTGGCCATAGTGGACAGAATGAGCTGGGTGCCTTGAGTCCTTAGGGTTTATAATAGTAGAAAATTTGATGAAAGTTTGGTGCCCTCTACCAGGGGCAGAGATACAAGGTAAAGAATGGAGGCTGTGCATACAGAATGTAATTGCCGGAGTTGCAAGAAGTGAATTGTATAGTACAGAACAGCATGGTGGATCTTAAAATCAGCTAGTCAGAGACACTGGAGAATGTTTCAAATAGTGAAAAAGTATTTTTACAAAACAAAATATACATTTTTCCATAATTTAAAACAAAAACACATCAACGATGCTTAATATTTAAGTGTGGTTGAAGAAAGAAATAGAGGTGAAAGAGATTTTTTTTTTCTTTTTAAAGAGAGAGCTGTGAAAGGCTTGATCCTCAGCTGAGGTGCTGATGCACCTAGTCAGCCCAGAGTGCCTGGAACTTCCTGTTTGTCCTTCCTCCTCCTGTTAGTCATCCCAGCAACAATGGTATTGTCTCATGGCTGGCCTGGCAGCTGCCAACAGCAGAGCGTTTGAGGCAGTGATACTTAGAGGTTGAGGCAGCTGTGTAACTTAGCTTACTAAAAAAACAGCACTCAGATAAGCAAATACTTACCTATCCATCATTGTTCTAAACATCCTGTAATGTTAACAACAAAGTAACTATGGACTATTTAGGTTTCTGTCAATCAAGCTTAAAAACTGAATTCAAATAATAGCAACAAGGTATGGTGTAAAAAAAGTACTTTATAAAATGGGTGTGAGGCCAGGAGGTGGTGTGGTGGCGCACACACAGGCGTACACACATACACGTGATGCCTTTAAAGAATAATCAGGGCTAGTTAGGTGACTCAATGGCTAAGAGCACTTGTTCTTGCAGGGTTCAGTTCCCAGTATTCACATGATGGTTCATAAGCATTTGTAACTCCAGTTCCAGGATATCCATTGCCTTCTGACCCCTGGGAGTCAGGCACACTCATAATACATATACACGCAGGCAAGGCACTCATACACATAAATTAATGATTTTTTTAAAAATTAATTATCTTGCATACTCATATTCATAGTAGTATTATCTATATAGCCAAGAGTGAAAGTGATTCAAATGTCCACCTTTTAGTGAACTAGTGGACAAATACATTAGTCACCTGCTTCAGCATAGATGAATGATGAGGACATTTTAAATGAGATAAGCTAGTTATGAAGGAAATAGTATATGGTTCTACTCATATCCGATGTCTAAAGTAGGGAGAAGAGCAATGGAGTTTGTGGGCTTAGAGTTTCAGGTGTACAAGAGAAAATGTTTCATAACAACGTGATAGTGCTTTATATTACAGAGGAACCTTGAGGGGTACAACTCAGACCGGCCTAAAGCTCACTTTGCCATCTGGCCTAGCTTGGAACTACTGCAGTCCTCCCTCTCAGCTGGCCAAGTGCTGAGATCATAGGCATGAGTCACCATGCATAACTTCTAGATGCGAAATTTTGTGTCATGTTCTGTTTTACCACTACTAAAAAACAACCAAAACCTTTGCATTTATCAGTGATAAGTAATTGTATGTTGATGTCTGCTTGCCAATTGATTTGTTGCTATTGATCCCACACAATGAAATAAAATTTCTTAAAGTACCCTTTTGTTTTCTAGGCTTCTTTAGCAGAGACAGATAAAATCACTCTGGAGGTAGCAAAGCTTATCAAAGATGACTTCCTGCAACAAAATGGATACACTCCTTATGACAGGTATGCTATGCTAATTTCTTTTTTTTTTTTTATTTCCCCTTGAGACAGGGTTTCTCTTTGTAGCCCTGACTGCCCTGAACCTCACTCTGTAGCCCAGACAGGCCTCTAGCTCTCAGAGATCTGCCTGCCTCTGTGTCTAGAGTGCCTGGGATAAAGGTGGGCACCACCACAACAGGCCTAATTACCTTATTTTTATAATGTATTTTTATTTGGCTGATTTGTGTGCATTGATTGGTGTTTTGCCTGCATGTATGTCTGTGTGAGGGGGTCAAATTTGGGAGTTACAGGCGTTTGAAGACTTTTTGTTGTGTTTTGGCAAAGAAGCTGCCTGCATGTTGGAAACTTTCCCATACAAGTGCATTCTGACTCAGTATATTGCTTGTTCTGTGTGTTTATAGCAGGCATCTAGTATGCCCCTTTGTCTGAATTTGCTTTGTTAGTGAAATTCTGACCATGTTTTCCCTCACACAAACATCTATAATTAGAGTGAATTATGGCATTGTTCGCAGACCTACAGGGCATCTCCTGCTGCATTCTGCTGTCCTTGCCTAAGTATTCTGTGCTTCCCTGCCTTATTTCACAAGGGTCCCAGGTTTCTTGATACAAAAGACTTGTTGAAAGTCCCTCCCACCTTCTTCCTTCTCTGCCCACTGCTTGCCTGTTTTCATTTTCTCTGCTGCTGATGTAGCTTGTTTAGAAAACCTGTTTCTTTGGAACATGAGAATTTGATCCTTTTGTCTTAAGCTAGCCTTCTCTCTCTTAAATCCTATTTGACTCCATCCAAGACTAAAAAGAGCTAGGGAACCGGCTTGATGTGCCTGATTTCAAGCCCTCCAAATCCACACAAAGCCAAGCACAGTAGCACACATCTGTGTCCTAGGATGCTGGAAACAGGACTTCTAGGAAGCTAGTGTGGCATACACAGTGGTAGACTGCCGAGACTGTCTCAGAGGAGGAGGAAGGCACGGACTGATACCCACGGTGAAAAGTGAGCAAATAGGATTGACCAGAATGCCAATATGTCAGTTAGCCTCAGAAGTCTGATTTGTCCTGAACTGAAACACCACATAAAGAGAATGGGTAGAATTCTTCAGAATGACTATAATAAGATACATGGAGTTGAGTGTGTGTGTGTGTGTGTGTGTGTGTGTGTGTGTGTGTGTGTGTGTGTGTGTGTTTGTGTTTGCTTGCGAGCGTGCATGTGCTTGAGTATGTATGCTTTTAAAAGGTATGGGCAGATAAAAATGAGTATACTAAAGAGAACTGAAGGCTGGGGCTTGGGGAGGGGGTGATAGCTTACCTGGGATACCCAAGGCTCTGAGTACACGGAGGAGGGAGGGATAACAAGGTAACTTTAGCAAGTTTGCAATTCTCTGCTTTCCTATTATTCATTAAACCTTGACTCTGGCCACAAGGAGTCTTACAACTCAGTTGTTTTTCCACTTGAGTTACATATTTAACTTCTTGTACCCAAACAGACTGCTGACAAGTCATTAGTGTGGCAGTACTGCTTCATTGTTTTCTGTTCAATAATTGGAAGCAGAATATATGTTTAAAGAAACTAATGGCTGGTAATTCATGAAGTTTCATATAATAAAAATATGCACTTGCTTAGTAGGTTGTTTTTGCTAATTGCCTTGTTGTTCATTTTCCCTAGGTTCTGTCCATTCTATAAGACAGTGGGGATGCTGTCCAACATGATTTCATTTTATGATATGGCCCGTAGAGCTGTTGAGACCACTGCCCAGAGTGACAATAAAATCACATGGTCCATTATCCGTGAGCACATGGGGGAGATCCTCTATAAACTTTCCTCCATGAAATTTAAGGTATAGTTTCTTTCTACTCTGACCTTTGTTGGCAAGAAGCCAACCTTCCTTCCTCCCTCCCTCCCTCTCTCCCTCCCTTCTTCACTTTCCCTTCCTTCCTGTCCTATTTGAGTTCCAAACCTGAGGTATGAAATTTGCATTTTTCTTTTTGAAGACCTATTTTCATTTGATTTATGTGTATAGATACATTTGTTGTAAGTATTGTGCCACTTGTGTGTGGTCACCTGTGGAGTACAGAGTGGCTGTTGGATTACCTGGAGCTGGTGCCTGCACACAGTGTGGGTGCTGGGAACTAAGCTTGGGTCCTCTGGAAAAGCAGCAAGTTTAACTGCTGAGCCATCTCTATGTTCCTGAAATTTGCATTTTTCATTTTATAATACTTAGGTTGTATAAAACCAGAACAATCTTCCAAGTTATGTTCAAGCAGGAATTCCAGTGGTAAAGATTGTACTATGTCATGTTTGTAGGGTTGGAAAGAAGGCTCAGCAGTTAAGAGCACTTACTGCTCTTGCAGAGAGCCTGGATTCAACTCCTAGCACCTATATGGTGGATACAACCGAAACTCTGAGGATCTGAGTTTGCTGACACCCAAGGATTACTGCACACAAAGGATGTACAGATATATACTCAGGCACACACACATACACATTAAAAAAATATTATAGTATGCCATGTCTAAAATAAATTCTAATGTGTTTGCTCTCTGTCTTAGCTACTAGTCAGCATAGAGTAACGTCCTAGCTGGACAGCAGTTACTTTAGTAAAGTGCCTATTATTTCATCTAGCCTCCACTTTCTCATAAACAAAGTTTAACCAGTTAAGTGAACTTACCAGTAGAAACCCAGATATAGGAGTGTTTTAAAATATTTGATGAGTTGGATTACATTGTGTTACTTCTTTTTTTTTTTTTTTTTTTTTTTTTTTTTTTTGTTCTTTGAGACAGGGTTTCTCTATTGCTTTGAAGCCTGGAACTCACTCTGTAGACCAGGCTGGCCTCAAACTCACAGAGATCCACCTGCCTCTGCCTTCCAAGTACTGGGATTAAAAGTGTGTGCCACTAACACCCGGCACATAGTGTTATTTCTAAGTCACGCATAGGCACATGTAGTAATCACCCACTGAAAACGATGCTTTGAGCATACTTGTACTGTAGAAGCACAGACCTGGAGGCCACTAAATGGCTTAGTGGGTAATGGTACTTGCTACTAAACCTAATGACCCGGATTCCGTTAAATGTGCTCTATTAGTCTCACTTTTCCGTCTTCGAGTGATGCTCCAGGCCTTCAGGAAATTCACTGAATTTTAACTTCCAGTTCTTGTATACACACATGTGTCTAGTACATGATATTACGAAGTTCCCACTAACATACACATTGCTGAGGTTTGATCATTGAGCATCAACTACAGGCAAGATTCAAAAATGAAATAATGGATTTTGTTTTGTTTCAGTCTATTTGCACATTTCCACTGTAAAAGAAAATAGGGTAGTTTTGACTCCTACCTGTGATTTACCAGTGTACCTCAACTAACCTGGTACCCGTATTAATAAGTAACCTATCTTACATCTTGAAAATTATTTCCAATAGGTGAATTAAATTTGTATTATTTCTCAGGATCCTGTGAAAGATGGCGAGGCAAGGATCAAAGCTGACTACGCACAACTTCTTGAAGATATGCAGAACGCATTCCGTAGCCTTGAAGATTAGACTGTGTCTCTTTCCTCCTCCTCAGCAAGCTCATGTGTATATTTCCCTGAATTTCTCATCTCAAACCCTTTGCTTCCCTATTGTGCAGCTTTGAGACTAGTGCCTCTGTGTGTTATCATTTGTTTTGTTGTTTCTTTGGTAGGTCTTTAAAACAAACATTCCTTTGTGCCAGTGTTTGAAGGGGCTCCCTGACCTTCATCTGGAGTGGTGAATGTAGTGCATATGGTACACAATGGCTATGCTACTGTAAACCTGTATGTAAGGTGACTACCCCTTCCCTCATCTCCATTAAACTGTAAACAGGACTACTGCATGGACTCTATTGGGAATGGAAGGCCAGATCTCTGTACCTATGGATAGGTACTGAGGAAATGACTCTGCATTTGGAGTCAGACCACTTGCAACTTAGTGTTTTGTTGAGTAACTAACTGTTTTGCAAGAAATATTTCCATTTAGAAACATAAAAGATTAATGTTCCAATTATGCATAGCTTCCCCATTATCAATCAGGAGAGATTATGGGGCACTTGGGAACTATTTTGTCTTTATAACAGGCGTTTGCAAGGCTGAGCATAATAGATAAATCAGTTCCCTCTGAAAGTGTGAAAGAAAGAAAGAAAGAAAGAAAAAAAGAGCCAGGTGGTCAAACTTAAATTAACATCATCTTGTTAAAGCATATTTTATTTCACTGAGAGAAATTCAATATCAAGGACTTTTATATACTCAATTACCAAGAAATCTTTTTTTAAGTACAATTTAAAAATCATTGAAAATGTGATCCACATCATAGCCATTCTTTTCCTCAAACTTAGGTGGACAAGCTTCTCAGAGTGGCAGTGGGAACTGGCATGTCACAAATAACGTAGTAGTGCTTACAGGCAGTTTGCCCCTGTAAGAACCAGCTGTGCTGTGGTATTTCTTGGGGCCAGAGTGGCATTATTTTTACAAGGTACATGTGTCATATGTTTGTTTGCTTGATGAAATTCTGAAAAACAGTCTACCAATTGCAGAAAATATTACTTTTCTATGTTTTTATTCACTGGCTCAGAAAGCTTCTCAAAGGGTCTGTGGTCATAGTAGCATGACTGTATCCATTCTGTTGACAGAGATGAAGTTATTCTTGTATTTGACTGGTAGCAAAAACTGGGTCATAAAAAAAGGAAAAGATCAATTTTGTCTCACTGTTTCAGTATGTTTAAATAATAATTTCCATGTTTGCATAATGAGGCCCATTTCTGAGAGCTTGGAGAGCTAGCCCCCTGATCACTCTCTGTGCTGATAATGCTGACACCATACTTCCTCTTCAGGACAGGGAAGGGTATTGAACATGTCTGACACTCTCAAGTACACAAGTGTGATAACAAAGTATTTCTTTTAAGCCTTGGTATGTTATTTAAATTATTAGGTGGTACATTTCTTTTGGTCTTTTGGGTAGACATAGTCAGTCTACAGTTCAGACATAATGTGTAAATCCTTGCACAGTGCATGTCTTTACACAGTGGACTGCTGTTCCGGAAGGATGCTCTTCCAGGTCACATTTTAAAAACTGTTGAACAATGTTGACAGATGTGGATTATGCAATGACTTGTTGAGATATGGATTAATGGTGCTGCTTAATCAGTTTGCTTCCAATGTGGCTTTGTATCCAGAGGCCCCTGACTAGTGGAAATGAAAAAGATTTCAAAACCTTTCTACTTAGACCTACCAGCAAACTAGGTTTGTGATCAGAGTGAATGATCCAAAGAAACTACTTGACCAAGTTTGTTTTTTGTTGTTCTGGATTTGGGATGTGCATTATTTCTCCTTTTAAGAATATTGATGTATGAGTGTGAAGAAGCTAGAGAAATGTTGCTCAGATCTCCACTGTAACTTTCCTTTTATCCACATTGTAGAGTTTTGGATTGTTCACTGATAGTGTTTCTTTAGTAAGGATATGTTAAAATTCAGTGATCTTTTAAAAAGATTATGCAGTTCTATTTATTGTGCTGTGCCTGGACATGAGTGCAGCCAGTTAAACAAGTTTCATAAGTATTTTTCCAGTGTTAAATCTCACACCTACACCCTTTGGAAACTTCCATGCTGGACAACAAATAGAAGAGGCCATATAAATTGCCTCCTTATCCTTAAGATTTCACCGTCTTTATGTCAAGAGTAATGTATAATTATTAAAATCTATGAAAAATAAAAAGTGGATTTAAATTAACTTTACTTTCCTTTTTTCCGGGGTGGGAGGATGAGGAGGAACAAGCTCTCCTAGAAAACATTCCACTTAATATTTTGACTTAGTGTTACAATATGTCCTTTTGAAAATGTTTTACGTTATAGAGTACTTGCATCGTTAAGTTGGAGTGTGGCATTCCCAACAGTCTCCACAGCATCCTCCAATCATACCTCACGGTGGGTGGGAAGTACAGTTTGCAGAATCTTACCCCATTCTGACCTGCCTTAAGTGAGTGGGTTTTTTGTTTTTTTTTTTTTTCAAAATTAAAAGTGATCCATGGTGCTCATTTTAGTTTTTGTTCAGTTTGAACTAAGTCTTATAATGTGCAATGCAAATAATTTTAGATCTCATGGGGCAATTTACCAGCATCCTCTGCTGCTCTCCAGTATGTTATCTAGATGTGTATATGTGGGTTTATTAGATTGGCTTGCATGGTTGGAACTGCATAGTCCAACAGTGGCCATCTGCATGCTCAACAGTCAATGTCCAGTAGCTACTCAGTCCAGGAACCTGGAAGCCTCAGTCCAAGAGGGACTGATGAAAGCACACCCAGGCCAAGGCTGACAGCCGAGAAGTTTCCTTGAGAGTCCATGTGGAAAGGCTGGGGAAGCTGGAGTCTGGCGTCTGTGGGTGATGGCAACAGCAACAGACATTCAGGATGAGAGGAATTTGCACTAACTGGCTTCTTCCTGCCTTTGTTGCACCAAAACCCCAAGCCTATTGGATGATGCCAACCACATTTAGGGGAGGCCTTTCCCTTAGTTGGTATCCATCCATCTCTGGAAATGGCTGCACAGTCACACCAAGAAATGTGCTTTACTAATATAGGCATCTCAGGGTTCTTCAGGGGAACAATGTACATAAAGGGAGATTATTGAAGCTGGGCTGTGGTGGCGCTCGCCTTAAATCCCAGCACATGGGAGGCAGAGACAGGCGGATCTCTATGAGTTTGAGACCAGCCTGGTCTACAAGAGCTAGTTCTAGGCTCCAAAGCTACATAGGGAAACCCTGTCTTGAAAAACCAAAAAAAAAAAAAAAAAAAAAAAAAAGGGGGGGGGGGAGGGGCACTAATGATTTGGCTTATACAATATGCACTGAGTAGTCCAAAAATGGCTGTCTTACACTGGATATGCCTAGAATATGGTAACTGCTCAGTCCACAGGCTACAGCTTTTTCATCACAGTCTGGTGCTGAAGGTCCAAAGGTTGCTCAAGAGTCCACTAGTCCTCAGTCATGTGGAAAGGCAAGGGGACTGAATTCTCATGTCCGTGAAGAATGATAGTAACAGTGACAATGGCAGCAGCAGAGTAGATGAGTTTGCCTGCACAACATGAAAATTCTACTTTGTAGATTACTTGCATGTAAAAAAGCAAACCTCTTTCCCCTTGGGCCTCACACCTGGGTCACCACTGGAACGTACTGCCCAGATCAGTTAATATAATCCAGAAAAACCTCATCGGGTATGTTAACATGCTTGACTCATTGATCCTAAAGCCAGTCAAACTGGCAACCACAGTTAACCATCACACAAGGTGTTTTAGAGTTTTCTGGGGAAACACCTGATAGCATATATATGTAGGACTTACTGTGGCTTACAGGTTATGGTCCAACTATTCAACATGGCTGTCTCCCAATGGAAAGTCCAAGATTCCAGTAGACTGTTAAGTGTGTCCACAAGGCTGGATGCCTCAGCTGGTGTTACGGATACACCAGAATACATGTGAAGGAATGAACAGAGAGTGAGAGCAAGCAGAGAGCAAGCGCTTCCTTCAGCCATGCACTTTATGCAATAGACTGCCACCAGGTGTGGCCCACGTGGAAGGGGGTCTTCCCACCTCAAAGGATCCAACCCAGAAAAATCCCTGACAGGGGTACCGAGCCACTTGCCTTTTAGTTAATTCCAGATGTAGTCAAGTTGATAATCAAGAATAGTCATTGGATTAGAATGTATGTTATTTCTTGAACATGTCAGTTTTTAACAGTTTCTGAAGGAACGAAGCAACATGGATCGGACAACACAGAATTGCTACTGATTGTCAAGTTTACAGAGAGGAATGCTTAAAAATTCATGGGCAGGCCTATTCATTAGAATGGGTTATTTTTAGTCAGCTAGATAATATCCCAATGTCTTCAGTGTGTTAATTTTAATGTATCACAACAATTGTTAGAGTATAAATGAAGGAACCAGTTTTCTCAAGTGAGTGGTAAATGATTCTGAAGTTGACTTGAGAGTTCGTTTCCCCTGGAAGTTGGCTCTGAAAGGAGTATTTGAGTTTTGCTTTTCCAGGAAACACCAGTGAGGAGTGGGCCCAAAATGAGGACAGAATAGAAAAAACTAATTAGTCATTGTCAAGCAAGTTAACAAACCTCAGCCTATGCCAACACAGTACTGCTGGGGAATTCTGGGAACTAGAGGAAGACACACTTCTCAGGTATCCACCAAGTGTGCAAGGAGGCCGAGTACATCAGTTAGAGGTGACAGCCAGTCCCTGCCAGTATTCCACTGAGTGTTGTTCCCTCAAAGACAAAGAATCGCTGCCTATAAAATGCAGTTGTGTATAGTCACACAGAAATAAATGAGACTCAACATGACAGGCATGACTCTTACAACCATAATATTTAGAGAAGCAGAGCAAAAAAAATTCCCAATTTATTATATAAAATTCAAAGCCAAAATCTGAGGTCAGGATAGCAGCTGCACACACTGAGAAAAGAGGGAAATAACAGAAATGTCTCAAAGAGGGTTTCAGGGTTTTAGTGATATTCCGGGTACTGCCAGCAAATGAATGTTAACTTAATAAATATTCTTGTATTGCATGTACCGAGACCTAATAGTTTTTGTGTTTGTCTCAATTAATATACATACTAGTAACATTATTGATAGACTGAGCAGGTTGTTTATTTTATATAATTAGGAATATATGTATATACATATGTGTATAGAATAATTAATGAAAAAAAAAGAGGCCATAAATTTGCAAGAGCAAGAAGGGGTGTTTGGGGGGATAAAAGGGAAGGGGATAAAAGCTACACAGAGAAACCCTGTCTGGAAAAACCAAAAAAAAAAAAAAAAAAAAAAAACCTTAATAGATGGCTTAGCAGTTAACTTTTACTCTTGCAGAGAGCCTGGGATTGCTAGCCAGCATCCATATGGTGGTTTATAATCATCTGCAATCCCAGTTCCAAGGAATCCAACACTCTCTTCTGACTTTGCGCAAGCACCAGCCACATACGTGGTACACAATCACACATGCAGGTGAAATCAGACACAGAAATTAGTTTAAAAAGAAGAAAACAGAAAATACTATCAGAGGCAGATTAAAAGACCCTTGTCATGGAGACCTGACAGTCTGAGTTTGATCCACAGAGCCACATAAAGGTGGAAGAGAACTGACTATGTATGCATTGACCTTGAAGGGATCTGCTCCCCTTTTGGCAGCCATAACAGCTGAACATGTGCTTGCCATAAACCTGCCTTGGTCACTTAGAGGTCAGATGCCTGCCTCGTGACAAGGAACCAATCAGAAGTTAGCTGGTGGCGCTATGCTTTACGACCCTGGGTGTGCTTTACGGACTAGCGCACAGCAATGACGTAGAGAGCATAGCAACCACCCTGGGAGGGCCTATGACCAATCAACACAGGGCAAACCCTCCAAGCCTGGAGGCACACCAATCGTGAGCCTGTGCGTACCCCTAGACACTCCCCTTATGCTGCCCTATAAAGATCTATGCGCAGCGGCTTCAAGCCGTCTTTTCTAGCTGTCCGCCATGGCGGGTGGGTGAAAGACCCGAGCTAACATGGGGTTAGCTCGTTAAATTACAATAAAGCCTCGTGCAGTTTGCAGCAAGCTCTCGAATCCGCCTGGTGATTGGGGTGACCTCGAACCTGGCCTGGGACCCTGGATACTTGAGTTTTCGGGGGTCTAACAGACCTCATATCCTCAATGTGGCGTGCCCACAGCCACACACACTAACAAAGACAGTAATCATTTAAAAATACTATTGTTTACCTGATAAAATGGTTTTACTTTTGATTGGCCTTTTACCTTGCTCTTTTCTACCAGAAGTAGAATTTAGCTTTATTAAATTTGAATTATTTATCTACTCATTTATTTTAGTGGTGGGGATCAAACTCCGTTTCCTGGCATAGTGGGCAAGTGCTCTATCCAGACCCCTTAACGTCACCGTTGGGGAGCCTTCTGTTTTCTTTGCAACTAGGAGCCTGTTATGTCGGGTAACTGTTCAGACTTTGAGAACTCATCTTTGAGAATTCAGGCCACACAGTCATGGCATGCTAAGTTGTCTCACCTGCAGTGGTATAGGCAATTGCACATAAGTACGAGTTCGGGTGCTATGAATGTGTCCTTCCGAGCTCAATGTAACAGTGGATTGTTAAAAACAGGGTTAATGTCTTAAGTATATGCTTTAATTAGATATTTTCCTAATTGTCTAAAGATAAGAGGCATATAGTATTGTGTTAATAACCTAGGCCCTACCCTAAACCAACTGGGGGGAGGGGAGGTGTTTTTCAATTCCGGAAGGGGTGGGAAAAATCAATGTTAATACACTCCTCAGGGAATTCTTACAATGGGGTAAGTCTGGGGACAATGTGTAGCTTCAATACTTAGCTATAAAGGGTAACACAAGAGACTTGAATTGAAAAAAGTATGCTCTCAAACGTTTGCTAGTTTTATCACAATCTCAGTATTGTACCGTTTTTACCATTTATCTTGACATTTGTTGGTATGAGCTCTCGACAGTTCTGTGCTGAGTCACATGTGTTGGCTCAGACTCAAAACTGTCTGGCAATGGGACAGAGTTTTCTGAAATCATGAAAGTTGAGCAGTGTTTTTATACCTATGGATTTCAAATGATTCCATGATTGTTTCGGGAATACACTTAATGGGTTAGCAGCTCCTCTTCCACACACGTCTGTAGAAGCAAGAGATTTTAAAAGGGATCAAAAGGATACAATTCT